CTCTTGGTAAGGTAGAATAGCTGTTGTCGTTGTTGTGCCGACTAGTTGGGTTTCGCTATCCTCGAGAGCAGATCCTCGCGATGGATGATCTGATCTTGCGATGTTATCGTTAGAACGAGGCCCTCCTGAGCTCCTGTCAGTGGTATCCCAAGTGTTAATTTGAAAGACCTTTCAAACTGTCCCTGATAGGATTTTGTCGTGTTGTCCATTAAATGGAAAAGAACTCGGCCTTTTGAAAAAACTACGAGGGTAATCCGAGTTGTTTTGGTTTGTATTCTGGAATCTTGCCAAACAAGAACTCGACTTCTTGAAAGCACTCGAATAAGACTTCATCTCGGATACGGAGCTTGAATTCGAGTCGGATGGAATCTTATTCGAATCGGGTAATCCGAGTTGTTTTGGTTTGTATTCTGGAATCTTGCCAAACAAGAACTCGACTTCTTGAAAGCACTCGAATAAGACTTCATCTCGGATACGGAGCTTGAATTCGAGTCGGATGGAATCTTATTCGAATCGGGTATTATGAGCTGCGCGAATCTTACGATGAGTTGATCCGTCGTAGTTGTCGAAATAGAGGATTCTTCATGATGATCCGGATCTTTGAGGAGATGACTTTGAAGCTTGCCGTGGTTATGCGCCTCGCGGATCCACGAGCGAAAGATGAAAATCGATCCCGTCGGGAAGATCATGTTATTGAGGTCCATCGAGCTCTTGGATGCAAAGTCGCCAAGGCCCTACCAGCGCGCCCGGTTGTCGATGTTTTACCACCGATAGCACGCCACGAAGTGTACCGTGGCGATATCGTTCGAATCTCGGCGTATCTTTGAACTTCGATGGTGAACGCAAGAGGCGATCGATTTATCTGGTTCAGCCCTCGATCGTAGATCGAGTAACGCGACCTACGTCGATCGGGGTTTGCCTTTTGCGTTGGATTGATTATGAAGTGTTATGTCGTACCAATTGTCCTCTTTCAGAGCCACCGCCTCCTTTATATACTCGGGAGGCCGGGGTCCTAATCGATTTACAATGAGATTTCCTAGTAGGATTACTTAATAGTTCCATTACCGAGATTACATGGGAAGAATCCTAGTTGGACTAGATATTCTCTCTCTCTTGTGGGGCATCCTGTGGGTCCCGCATCGACAACCACCAGCGAGATTGTTTGATGGAAGTCGACGCCTGGTCATTGAGAGAACCCGCGGACAACCCACTGCGCTTTACGCCGTTCGAGTGTCCCATCGGGGTTGAGCTTGTTTTTGAACGGCCACTTTCGGGTGATGACATTGGCGTGAGCTGGGCGGGGCACAAGCGTCCATGTGCCATTGCTTTCTGCCGGGCGTCGGTCGCGAAGAGCAAAGACAGAGCGGATGTCGGCGATGGCGAGGCGTTGATGTCGTTGTCATTTGCACATACTTGGGATTGGGCATGTGGATCCCTGCTTGTGCACGTGTGATCATCGAATGGTGTTGTGGCTGAGCTAGAGGCGCAGCGGTGATGGCACAGCAGTGTAGGTGCGGCGTCGCCTATTCATGTGTTAGTGCGGACGATGTCGTGGTGCACAGGTCCGCGATGAGTGGTGACGTTAAGGCGGGACCATAGGCATCACGGCTTCGGAGCTGCGCCAGCGGGATCTTATTAGGTGGATGAGAGTCCGTCGTTGGTGTGTCGATGACGGTCGCCCGCGCGCCACGTCGAGGCTGCCATGATCCGGATGGGATCGGAACACGTCGAGGCATGCACGGTGGGCACGGAGGAGGAGCAGCGAGCGTCGTCGTCGTGTCATCCTGCACAAACGGAAAGCACGTCTCGTCAAAATAGACATGACGAGAGATTAGCACAGGTGTGGTGAGCAGGTTGTAGCACTTATAGCCCCGCTGATCAGGAGCATCTCCAGCTCCCCTATCCCAAATGCAATGTTTATTGGGGGAGTTGGGACAAAAAAAAACTTGCTCCAGCAAGGCAGCAACTCCCTCATCATATCCCCATTAATTGATGATCACAAACAAAAAAAACACCTCGACTCCCCAAAATAGAGGGGAGATGCAGCTCCCAAAACTCACCGCATCCCAACTGCTTCCCACGCCCATGCGGATCTTCCATCTCCGTCGAGCTCGCATGGATGGATCCTCCTCCCCACTCCACCGTTGCATCCAACGATTTCTCTGTCGAGTCGAGGTCTGGGGCCCATGGACAAGCAGTTGGGCGCAGCCGGTCTGCATCTAGGGCTGGGTGCGGGTGCGGTAGTGGCTGGGGCCGCGATCGAGACGCGGTGGTGGGCATGGCGATGGCGAGGCGGGGCAGCGGCAGGCGCCCATGATGGCGAAGTCTGGATGTGGCGTTGGCCAGGCGGGGCACAGTAGGGCCAGGGCAGCGACTCAACGTGGCGGTTGCTGGGGCGGGTGCCGTGGTGGCCGTGGTGGGTGTTGCAGCTCGCCTCAGGTAGGAAGAAGTGCAGCGTGAGGAACACGAGCCGGAAGAAGATGCGTAGGGAGAAAATAAAAGGAAAAATAATAAATTGTAATATGACATGTGGATCCTATGTAATGAGGAAGATTATTGATAATCTGTTGGATTATCTTTTCTAATAGTCTGGAAAAATAGTATCGGTGATCACCGATACCTATTAGTGAGCTGTCGGAGATGCTCAGTGCTACTACCGGTAATGATGTCGCTATCATTCCGTCAGTCTATCTGCGCGACACATTTCCTTTGTTTTGTTTATTCAATTTCCTTTTATTAGTTCCTTCCAAATAAAAGAGGCCATACCCATGCACCCATGCCTAATCTCTCGGAAGTCTTATTTTAGAATGGGATCTCGGGACCCCGAGAAGAACGCATCGCCCGCCAGGCCCGATAACAATGGCCTTGGAGGGCGTGGTCGGCATTGGCATAACCAAGCGGCCGTCGCAGCAATGCCTGGACGCCGTGGAGAACGCGGCCCGACGTGCCGAACCAGAAGAGGGTACAGTGGAGCAGAACACAACGCCATGGATCGCGAGGAAGAAGGTCACAGCGCTCGCCATCAGCCTCGTCGCATTGCCCGTCCTGATGACCACGGTTAGCCGGCGGGACTCGCCGTGGACGCCCGCGTCCTTTTGGCCGTTGGCGACATTCGCGCGGCAAGGTAACGTAGTAATCCACGCACTCTTCATCTATCTCATCCTCTGCCGCCGTGTGACGTGGTGTTGGATCTTCTGAATCGCGTGCTTTGGAACGGTTCCGATCGAAAGGAGATCTAATCTACTTTCCCGCGTGCGGAATTCTATGCAGAGAAGCTCCTCGGCGGCCTGCTCGTGCCGGGGTTCGACGAGCGGTCGTGCCTCAGCCGGTACCGGTCCGCGTTCTACCACAAGAACCTGACGAGGTCGCCGTCCGCGCACCTCATCGAGCGGCTGCGCCAGCACGAGGCGCTGCAGCGCCGGTGCGGACCGGGCACCGAGGCGTACAGGGCCGCGGCCGCGCGGCTCAGGTCCTGGCGCCGCAACGGCACCAAGGACGGCGTCTGCAGGTACCTCATAATGGTGCCGTACAGGGGCCTCGGGAACAGGGTCTTGGCCGTGGCATCGGCGTTCCTCTATGCCGTGCTCACCGACCGCGTCCTGCTCCTCAACGGGAACACGTCGATGGGCGAAATCTTCTGCGAGCCGTTCCCGGGGACCTCGTGGCTGCTGCCGCAGCACTTCCCGATCAGTAACCTCCAGAACCTAACGGGCGACGTGCGGGAGAGCTACAGGAACCTGGTGCAGAACGATAGCACGGCATCGCTCGTGTCCAGGCTCCCGTACGTGTTCGTGGACCTCGATCATTCCTGCACGTACCACGACAAGCTCTTCTTCTGCGACGACGAGCGGCAGTTCCTCCGCCGCGCGCCGTGGCTGGTGATGAGGACGGACGGCTACTTCGTGCCGGCACTGTTCCTGAACCCGGCACACCAGGACGAGCTCGACAGGATGTTCCCTCGAAAAGACTCGGTGTTCTACCTGCTGGCGCACTACCTGTTCCACCTGACGAACAAAGTGTGGGGACTGATCACGAGGTTCCACAGCTCGTACCTGAGGGACTCAGACGAAAGGTTGGGCATCCAGGTCAGGGTGTTCGACGGGGACACTCCGTTCCAGCACATCTTGGATCAAATCCTCGCTTGCACGTCGCAAGAACATCTGCTCCCCGACGTGGTGACGCAGGAACCGCCCCGTCCGTTGATGGCCGGTGCGCAGTCAAAGGCTGTCCTGATGACCGGCCTGAGCTCGTGGTACTACGAGAACATCCGGTGGAAGTACTGGCAGTCGGCGACGGCCACCGGCGAGGTCGTGAGCGTGTACCAGCCGAGCCACGAGGAGCACCAGCTCTCCGGCTACACGACGCATGACATGAAGGCGGTGGCGGAGATGTACCTCCTGGGCATGACCGATAAGATCGTCACCGGTGGGGCTGGTCGACGTTATTTCGTCGGCCCACGGCCTCGGCGGGCTCACGCCGTGGATCATGTTCAGGCCCGAGAACCACACCACGCCGTACCCGCCGTGCCGGCGCGCCAAGTCAATGGAGCCGTGCATGCACGGGCCGCCGTTCTACGACTGCAGGGCGAAGCACGGCGCTGATACGGGAAAGCTGGTGCCGCATGTCCAACACTGTGAAGACATGAGCTGGGGGCTCAAACTTGTTCACCCCGAGTGAAACATCAATAATGATAAGGATATTTTTTTATGACTCAAATTCGTGTGCTATTTCTGCGGATCAGTTCATTTCCACTAATGTACAGATAGACAGTACCATTGCGCAGAAGCAAGCATCTATGCAGGAGCAAAATCAATCGAACAGCTTGAGGCCGCCGCCGGAGTCCACATCTTCGCAGTGTCGCATGAAGGGCAGATGCACCACCGGGTCAAGATCCTGTTCCACCCGGCAGACGAGCGACGGCGGCGAGTGCAGGCATGGCTCCACCGACGCTGGCCTAACGCAAGCCACGGCGGCCCTCTGCGTAGTCCGGTCCGGCAGCATCAGCAGCCAGGGTCGCAGCCCAGCCAGCGAGTCGCGCCGACGTGGCCGAACGTCGAGAACCCCGTGGTCACCAACCTGTCGCAGTAGCTGAGCAGGAAGATCTTGGCCAGGGCGCGCTCGTTGTGCTCCCGCGCCTCTGAGTGCTGGTCCTGGTCGTGGCTCGGCTGGTACACCGTGACAACCTCGCCGGTCGCCGTCGCGTTGGTGTAGTACACGCTGTGCAGCTTGTCGTAGTACTCCGGCTTCAGGGAGACCACCAGCACGGCCTTCACCTTGGCCGCCGTGCCGTTGGACGGCCGGGCACCCGGCTCGCTGGTGTCGGTCACTTGTGGCAGGAGGCCATGCTCCCGTGTGCCCCGGGTGATCTGCTCGTACATGACCTCGAATGTGAGCGGAAGGAACGGCGCGAGGCGGACCTGTATGCCGAGACGCTCGTCGGCGCCGGCGAGGTACCCGTCGTAGAACCTCTCAACGATCCCCACGCTCGGTTCCCCGGGCGGAGGAGATACCTGCCGAGGTGGTGGAACACGGACGCCTTCGCCGGGAACATCAGGTCCAGTTGGGCCCGGTACATGGGCATGAGGAACAGCGCCACGGCGAAGTAGCTGTCTGACCGGAGCACCATCCAGTTGAACCTGTCGAGCACGCGGTGGTCCTCCTCGCAGAACGTGTGATTCTGGAGCCGGAGCTGTATCTGCTCCAGGTGGAAGTAGACGTAGGGCGGCAGCGCGTTGGCGTCGCCGCCGCCGCCGCTATCGTCGTAGCGGACGACGTTGTTCTCAAGCATGTGCAGGTAGCTGTCACTTGAGCCGACCCAGAAGACGTCCTTGTAGGGGAAGTCCGGCGGCAGGATCCACGAGGTCCCCGGGAACGGCTCGCAGAAGAGCCCCTCCATCTCGGGGGGTTCGTAGACGAGGAGGACGCGGCCGGTGAGCAGCGCGTAGAGGAAGGTGGAGACGACGCTGAGCATCCGGTTGCCCATGCCCTGGATGGGGAACCACACCACGTACCTGCATTCGGCGCGGTCGCCGTTGCGGCCGGACGTGAGCTGCGCCATGGCCTCGCGGTAGTTCGCGGTGCCCAGTCCGCACCGCCGATGGTTCGACTCGTACTGCCTCAGCTTCTGGACGAGGTAAGGGGAGACCAGGAACGGCGACGGCGTCTTCCATCGCTTGGACGCCTCGTACCGGCTGAGGCACGTCGCTGCGTCGAAGTCTGGCGAGAGAAGCCCGCCGAGGAGCAGGTCGTGGTGAGCGTTCACTGGGGACGAGGACGTATTGCCGGAGCCTGCGATGCAAACGAATGGAAGAGTGAGAGCCGGGCCATTACCATGCATCAGATGCGTGTAGGCAAGGGATCGAAAGGAGCAAGTACTCTGCACCCCGCGCGCTGCCAAACCAGGGAGTTGCCGGCGATGGAGACGACAGCTCGGTCGCCGAAGAGGAAGAGCAGGATCAGCAGCGGCAACGAGAGCAAGAAGATGGCAGTGACAGTGCCCAGACCGGTTGGCCGGCGTTTCTCTGCCTCCGGCAGATCTCGCTCTCCTTTGGTCGCCCTGGCGGAATCCATATGGCACGCCAACGCGCTACCCCCGCCGATGTCCAGTGCAGGTTTCTTTTGTTCTGGACACCGGCCAGTTATCGAGAGGGCAACCATGGTAACGAATCAATTTCTTAGCTGTGAGATCCTTGCATATAGAAATGGTATCATGGGTGCGACTGCCCTATCTATGGTCCCACCTCTTCCTCACCCTTCGGCCTTCGAGGCTTCGAACCTTCCCCTCATGTTTCAATGGCTGCTGCCCGTCGGCCCTTGGCCATCCCACAACCAAGGCATGCGGCTTGCCAAGCCGGCCCCGCTTGTCCGTGCCGCCTTCTGACCCTTGCACATGGCCATGGAGGTGCACCTTTCGTGCACTACCCCTACGTGTGGCCATGGAAGAGTGAGATGAACTAGGTGAGGGAGGGGAGAAGAAAAAATAATTGGCCTATGGCATATGGGCACCACATGTCATGATGGATATAAGGGGTGGTTTTTGAGTAATCTGTTGTAGCTCTGCACTCCATCTCCTTAAATTGCTTTTACGAGATCTTCTACAACTGATTATAAGAGAGAGGAGAGGATATCTGATGAAGTTGCTCTGGCCTGATTATAAGGGAGAGGAGATGGGACATTTGATTAAGTTGCTCTGGCCTGAACCATTAGTACCCCGTAAGAATATGAAGCTCCTAATTAACAAGTCCAGCAAAGAACTCCAATTTGGGGTAGAAAAAAATGACCAAACTTGGTACCCATAAACCAGGAGCTGGATAAGTAGATTGCTTCTTAGAAATTTACCAAAGCTGACACTCGGGCAATACCTCACAGCTCACTGAAGAATTGAAGCATGGAATGTATTCAGCTTAAAACAAAGTCCATGAAGGAAACTACTCCAATTTGAACTCAGGTGCTATACTTTACAAATCAGTAGTGGCCCAAGAATTTCTGTATGTTGACTTCCTGTTGTCTCTTGACTCTTCTAAGATCGAAAAGCGTGTGAAAACAACGTAGAGTACTAGTACCAAGAAGTAATGAAATCTGTGCCGTTCGTATCCCCGTTTATCTATCCTTCTGTACCACAAACATAAATTGCACTCAATGCAGAACGAGGAACCAACCCAGCAAATGGTTTGAGTCCACTTTTGGATCCAGATCCAGATGGTGTAAGTACCAAATGGCAGCCAAAAGCAGTGAAATACAGATTGTGGGGAATGCAAATATATCACGCCTACAAATGTCAACACAACAGCTTAAGCACTCAGCTAAAAACTATCCCCAGAAAGGTATACGTCTTACATAGAAAAGGTCTACGGAGTAGCAACAGTTTAGGGCCTATGGATGTCGTACTACGGCTTACATAGAAGTAAAAGGTCTGGAATGGAGTTTCTAAAAAACAAAAAGACTATAGTTTTAGCAAAAGCATGGTTTTCAAAACTACAAGGTTTGCGACAGTCCACCTTAGCATTCCAAAACCAAAATATTTCAAAAATCATGGTATTCTTCCAACCGCTCCAAAAATACTCTGCATCCAAATAGGGCCTTTAAGCATTCATCTCTTTTTCTATTGTATAATCCTGAGAATACTTTCATGAAACTAATATTGCTAGGTGATTTACCAATGTCGCATCTTACTCTTCGTCAAATCTGCTTGTGTAACCTGTGTTAGTTTTTGAGAATAGATGCAACAACAAAATTGTTTCACAGCCATATTCTATCACTTAGTTAATTTTCCCTCACCAAGCTAACCATGAAATTTGCTATCCAAAGAAAAAGCTCAGGCAGCAATTTGATATTTTGTTTGGCTGACCATCATAGCATTTAAAGTGAATGGTCTGTTCAAACTCTGGGCTATCACCGTGGAACAAAATCACGCTGATACCTCATTGATATGTTGGTTGAGGCTCTTCCCAGGGGGTATAAAGATTAAATCATCCCAGCCAGAATTCCTCTCATTTATCTGCAGAATCAAATAGCAGAATGGTAAGAACTGCTGAACTAGCACAACTGTACAGGCAATCCATTGTGCCATTTTATCTCCATCATACCTCCATTTTCTTCAGGATATCCTCCAAACTCCCAACCTGGAAGAAAAACACAGAAGAGTTAAAGTAGCTGTCATGAGAGATTTATGCGAGCTATAACCGAACATAACTACATACCATAATTTGCTTAGACAAGGCTGACCCTCTTGAACCTTTGGAAGCCCTTGTAAGTTCTCTTTCTATGTCTTCCTGAACCGCGAGGTAAGTGTTAAAAACCTAATCAAGGTCTAAGGAACACTACATGATATAAAATGCAGCCTGGCAAACCTTTTGAAAATATATTGGACAGTAGCGCTTCTTCTGCTTCTTCACAACCAGAAGATCTGACTGCACATGCAATTGGAACATTTTCATTGCAGCAATTAATGGTTCATAGTAGCAGTGAGGATCATGAACCCCCAAGACAGAAGTCTAGTGGCACAAATATCAGAATAGTATAAAACTAAAAGGAACTGCACAACAATCTCAAAAGTAAGTGTGGAGTGGAGCATCTCCCGGAAAAAGATAGACACCATTCTGATGAAGCTGAAGCGACAATGTATGAAACTCTAAACATCTTGGCAGTTATTTTACTACACTAATGCAACAATTGAAGTTTGGTTGATTGTGTTTTGTATGGATTTTCACTTTCTGTAAGTAGTTTTTTGCTGTGTGGTCACACTTTCATGCCGGAAACCACATACAGTTTATCTTAATGAAGAAAAAGGGTTAGGCTGTCCCTTTGCATAAAAGCTCCAGATGAGAATAAATATAATAAACTCGAAAAGGGAAAAAAAAGAAAGGAATTTGATTGGAGACAGCACAGCATGACTAGTTGACTAAGAACAGGATGGGCGTACAATTAATTTTCACAATAAATAGGGATGGGCAAGTAAATCATAGAAACAACTAAACAGCTTCAATTTCTTTCACACCTTTTCTTCTAGAGCCTACCCATAATCCATTAGATTTAGCAATAGCTAAATGCACTAGCAATTATTAGAGACAAGGCATCAATCAACAATTTGCTAGTGGTCTTTAATTTTCCCAAGGGAGGAATTACTGTTATTTGCTTAATCAAGAAAATGTTTACTAATTGCTAGGATGTGTTTCTGGTTACAAAGGTATGGAGGTAGTGCCCCAAGGTTACAATTAATTTGTGGTACAAATGAAGGGTTTGCTTGTGGGCATCCTAGTGAATTAATACATGCGAGTATTTGACTGAGTTTAGCATGTATAACAAGAACTACTCATGGCATCAAATTGACACGACTCACAAGAAACTAAAATCAAATAGGTCAATATGGAAAGTAAAATATCTTATTAGAGTGACCAAATCAGGGATATTACCTGAAAAACAGGAACACCATCAAAAGCAGTTAAGCCCGATTTCATCTGGAAAATAAAAAGGGTAATACATGTCACAAGGATGAAGTAACCTTTTTCTTCAGACTTGAAGAATAATCAAGGGGCTGTAATGATCCACGATCCGATATGCAAGACTTAACTTGTTCTAAAGCCAAAAGTATGTGTTACCTAAATTTAACTTAGATTTACAAATGTGTGATATGGAGAATCATTGCAGGTCATTAGGTCAACAAGTCCATCCAGGAAAAAAAAACAGAAAGATTCGACACCTAGCACTATGGTAAGAACTAACACTTCACATGTTCTATGTCCATATGTCTAGGATTCATGCATTATGTTGAAGACATACAATAAGCCACAAATGTACAGACCTTGTACCAATTTATTGGGATTGCTCAAAGTAACAAAATCTTTTCAAATAAATGTTTTCTTTGAAATGTTGGAACATGTTAAACCAATAGCTATGGTTATGCATTTTGCCAAGTCATACCAATTATGTAGAGTTTCTGCATGTGCTATGTGAATATTGCTAGTACACTAGTAATTACATGATTGGCCAGAGTCAAACCACTGTAGGCCAATGATAGCCAAAGAAGTCAATATTACGGCATTTAATTACAAGATATGGAGAAATGGACATACATGTTCCATCCCTATATTGTAATAAAATAACAAGAAAGTAAAGTAATAATTAAAACAACCATCATTGTATTGCTGCTTTCAAGAGCAATTGCAATCTGCCTGATGGATCAAAATTCTACTCACATCGTAGGGAGAGGGGAGGGAGTAGATTATAAATAGGTCCAGGTATATATAAGATAATAGAGCAATGAGTGAAAAATCTATTAAAGAGCAGACCTCCAGTGCATTCTTTATTTGAAGCGGGTCGGGTAAGAACCGAAATGCAATACCTTCAGCCTTCAACATATAGACCTGCGAGTTATGGTATATGTTTGCATTATGAAACATATAATAGAGTATCGGTCAGGTTCAAGGTAAACATAATGTCTATGCATGCACTAGAATGACCAAAGCTGCAGTGGCGTCAACCAAGCTTAGTGCATCTTAAAAGCATGAACAAGATAAGCTAATAAGGAATTGGCTACCTAAATCAGGAGAGCGTCCACAATTCCTCGTCGATAAGCCAGATAGAACTAGTCAAATTTAGTTAGAAGTCTTACCCCTCACCTTGCTAATAAGTTAAGATGCCTCCAATTACTGGAATGGCTTTCATACTTCAAACAAAACACAAAAACCTTACAAAACCCACAATTCAATGAAAAATTGGCCATCAAGTCTAACATGATCAACCACAAGACATACAGAATGAAACCAACCTGATCAAGTGTAATAGGCACCACTTTTGCCCCCTTCCCTAGCATCGGTTGCCGCGTCCTCACCTAAACCACACAAACCCCCGAACAACCAGTGAATAATCCAAAACCAAAGCCCAAAGCAAACAGGTGGCTAGAGAGCAGGGAATACATGCGACAGGAGGGCGTCGGCGTCCTCCGAACGGAAGCAGAGGAGGCCGAGGGAGCGGAGGCCGGTGGCAGGGTCGGAGACGAGCACAAACTCGTTGCTGGAGTTGCAGACAGTGAAGACGGGAGTGCCGGTGAGAGCGCGCGCGACCTCATCGGGCGCGAGCGCGAGAGATAGGGAGGTGCCCTGGGGGCCCGGCGTGCGCGCGGCCGCGGCGGCGAGGGCGGGGCGCGGGGCGTTCAGGTGGGAAGCTAAGCGGGAGAGGTGGTGCTGGAGGAAGGACGCGGCGGCAGCGAGCGGGTTTGGAGGCGGCGACGCAGCGGAGGGGAAGGGGGTCGGGTCGGACATGGGCGCAGCGGCGAGGGGGAGGGAGGAGCGCGTGGAGATGGAGTCGGGCGGCGCCATCGCGTGGGTTGCGGCGGTGAGAGGTGCTTCGGTGGTGGCGTGGCGTGCGAGGCGTCTTGTTGGTCGGCGTCGGCGGCGTCGACGAGAAGCGCCGGGCGCGGGGCCGATTCGGTTGAGCTTGAGCCGCCCCTCTGGTGCGGGAGTTGCGGGTTACGGCCCGGTTAGATGGGTTGGGATTGGGAGGTTCCTGGTTCGGTTTGGTCCACCATCGACCGGTTCTTCATCCTGACCTTCTATAATTTTATTTTTCATTTCAGAAAAGTATATACTTAATTTGTGGTTGTTTTACTACCCTCACCTATAAAACCAGACCAGATATTTTACTCAAAAACTACTGAAAACCACTAAGTAACCTCTTGAGGTAGTTTTGAAGAAGATTTTGCTGACATGCAGTAGAAAAGATCTAATAACCCTCTAATATATCAAGAGTTGACAAAATTCATCAACTATAAAATCCGATAGTGTAACCCTTACAACATTAAATAATGTTCAAATGAACCCTAGATGTTTTTTAGGGAAATTCATCAACTATAAAATCCGATATTGTAACCCTTAAAACATTTAATAATGTTCAAATGAACTCCAGATGTTTTTGTTGGGGCATTTTGACACCATATCTCATCACATTGGCTTGAGTAACCATGCTTGCATGTAGATTCATTTGTTATCTCCCTCTCCCTAGTACAACCCAAGCTCCTGTCTCCTGCTCTACCTCCTGGCATTCTTTAATAGGATTGAGCTCACGTACTCTTTAATAGCATTGACTTACAGGGACTAAAGTTTAGGAGATGTCACATCGGGTATTTGAATACTAATAATAAAACTAATTACAGAAGCCGTGACTAATTCACGAGACAAATTTATGAAACCTAATTAATCCATCATTAGCACATGTTTTCGGTAGCACCACGTTGTCAAATCATAGACTAATTAGTCTTAATAGATTCGTCTCGCAAATTAGTCTCAATCTATACAATTAATTTTGTAATTACTCTATATTTAATACTTTAAATTAGTGTCCAACATCCGATGTGATAAGGCTTAAACTTTAGGAGGTGGAAACCAAACACCCCCAATAGCATTGGCTCGTCATCTGCCCCCCACTCCACCACATCATCCATCTCCCTCACTTTCTCATTCTATGACTACCTAAAAACTGATTTGAGTGAAATTGTTGGTGCATATTCCTTCATCGAGAACACGACAATGGGTGCCTGAGGCTCGGACGATGCTTCCGTGCGCTTTCAAATCGGCACCAAGACCGGTGTAGGAGGCACCGGAGTTGGTCGAGGGTAAACACGACAGACTCCACCGACTCCTTCGGCCACGCTTACTGACCGACCTCGGCGAGCCGCCAACTCAACTCTCCTCTGTGACAATCTGCGGCAAACCGATCATGGCGAGTCAGCCAACGGACGCCAGCCTTTCTTGGGCTCGACACAATGGCTGACGCTGACTATGGGGCCTCATGACTTGCTCCCTGGTCGCGACGCCATGGACGACCTGATGATGTTGGAGGAGTTTGCAGCTTCTCTCGGTGCTAGTCGGATTGCCACGTGCCCTACACTAGACCACCTGGCTTCAACTCCGACGGTCACCCAGTTGGAGGTTGGGGCCAAGGCGGTGGTCACCTGCGTCTGCGGCAGGCGCGTGACCGTGTCCTCGGCTTGCCGACTCAGAGTTGCGGACGCCACCTTCGCGTCCTTCTCAGTGGGCTGCGGAACTGCCACCAGCCTTGTCTCAGCAAGGGCAGGATAGGTCTCCTGAGGCCGTGTCACCTCGTCGCAGTGCCAGTCTCGTGCCCAAACCCCTTCAGGCGTCCGTTGCCCTAGGTGGGCCTTGCTCTGGGCAAGGAGTCCTAGATGTTCAGCAGGATTCAGTCGCTGACATTATGCGCATGATCCAAGACGGAGTTTGCTTGCCTCTCGAAACTCCTGTGCTTCAGGGAAGGCCTATCCTCAGGGTTGCTCGGGTCCAACCCAGTGTCACTTTGCCTAGGAGAAGCGTTCGCTTAGCTGCTAAGCCTCGGGTGCCCAACCCGACTCTCCAGGTGCGGAAGGTTTTTATGGTCAAGTTGGGGCTCGCAAATGCGTCCGAGCCCGTCGACGCTGCAGAGACATAGAAATTGGAGTCCATCTTTGTTGAGCAGCTTTCGGAGTCCAAGCATGAGGCTTTCAAGGTCCTTTTCTGGGACGACATGTTCCTGGATGACTTCGTCCCGGAGGTTGATGGGCTCCTCCCGTAGACGCGCTAAGGAGTTAACGCAACCATCAGTTGTCGCAAATATGCCTCTCCCTATCGTCACAGAACCTGTTATGGTGCTTGATGCGCGGGCTGAGCGGCCTTGCGCGTTGTTGTCTGGTTAGGGAGTCGAAGTCGTCTTTAAGCTGGCTATTTTTTCGCCCTCAGTTCTTGTTTCAGGTGTTCTTCTTTCTTTCTTGTATTTTGGTTCTCCTTCTCTCTGGTAAGCTTGGCGCTTACCAATGAGGGGGTAACTTGTAATGTACATCTATTTCCTCTTAATGAAATATGTGCCTATAAGTGGCACGGTCGCGAAAAAATAACATAGTTTGATTAAGGAAAAGCCATAAACATATATTTTTCTCTATAACATGTAGCTATTTGCTTAAGAAACAACACCGACTAGGTGATACTTTAAACACATAATCTATTGATTTATTTTTTATATCTTATTCTTATATACAATTTTTTCCCAAAAATTGCTGGCAGGATTATGCCAGGCAAATATAATGATAGAGAAGAGGATTCTTATATATAATTTGAATAATTGTTGATCAAAATTTATAAAATTTGATATTCTTATTCTTATACGAAATATGCTTATGTCATTTTGGGGCAGGACGGATGGCGTGCCTCTCTGGTATTGACTGCACACAGGTGCGAAGCTTGTTTGAGACCCAAGGTGACTGTGGCCCCTTGTTTTTCTATTATCTTAAACTTGTCACATTTTTTTTAGACAAGGGAACAAAGTTATAAAAAAAACACTGGAATAGTTATGCTTATTTTAATCTGGGTCCCTCGGTGCCTTTCTCCATTCTGCGAGTGATTGTATCTATGCCAACAAACCGTGCGTCTATTTGTTATGCATTATCTGATCTTTCTTTGAACTAGCGCTCCTAGTGTTAATTTTTCACCACTTTTACTACCAACACTGCACGAAGGGCACGGCATGCCACATGCATTTCTTAACCATGGCTCCGTTCGCTTGGAGGAATCTGGATGAATTTTAAAAAAATCTGGAGGAATTTGTAAGAGAAAAACACGGTTCCGGATGAAAAAAGAAACGGATCAAGCCAGGTTTAAGGACACGCGAACAGGGCCCATTTCTCAACAAATTAATTAAGTTCGTGGAGCTGAACCAGAAATACGAGTACGCGGACTCTTTTCAAACCATCCACAAAGTTACCACAAGACATTGAATAAAAAGCCAAATGAAGCACCCGTACAACGTTCAAGTAACGACACACATCCACCATGATGAACAAAAAAAATTAACAACACATCCAATCCATCCTGACAATACAACAGAGACTCACATCGATCGATGGCACGATGCTTATTGGGCGATGCCCGATGGATCATCAGATGATCAGTAGTAGCCGAGCTGGGTGATCTTGACGTGGAGGTGCCTCTGCGCGAAGGCGAAGAGGCGGGCCACCTCGTCTTCCCCCTGCACGCCGCCGTCGCGGTTGGCGTCGGCGGCGCGCACGCCGTCCCGCCTTCCACCACGCGAACCACGTTGAGGCTCCGCAGCGCGTGCTGCAGCTCCTCCCTGCTGATCCGCCCGTCGCGGTCCGCGTCGAACTGCGCCAGCCACGCCCGGAACTCCTCCACCGTCAGCTCCCCCTGCGGCAGCGCGCGGTACCGCATGAACGCCATCCGATCCCCTCACAACGTACGCCGATGCCCGGCCGGCGACCGCTGCTTAGCTTGCTTGCCTCTGTGTGCTTGCTCTTCCGCTTGATGGTGAGTGTGCTAGCTTGCGAGTGAGCTGCTCTGAGCCTACTGCTGATCGAGTTGCGATTGCAAGTAGCGACGCACAGAGCTCCATCCTATATATACCGGTCCAAGAGGAGGGCCACGGCGCTGAGGTTTTTACGACTCGGTTACTGCACGTTTTGCACGCGCAGATCAGAGTTTGGCTGGCCGTGTTGAACATGGGGTAGATTGTTTTTTTTTTCAGATAAAGAAAGGGTTAGATTGTTACGTAGATGAAATGGAAATAATGTACGCGTAGTGGCTAGATTGCTTTTAGATGCTGCTAAGTTATTGCCAGTTGCCACTGAGCTTTTCTTTTCAAAGGGGAATAATCGGCGGTGCAGCTTAAAAGCCGCATTAGGCGGTCTGCATTCTTTTCAAAGGGGAATAATCTAGACTAGAAATGGAAGGAGCAAGGAGGTCGAATGATCAAATTTCGAGAATCCACATCCACTTGAGTACTTGATAAAAATTGTGGCAAGTACACTGCTTTGAGGATGTTTGGTTCATATATCTAGCTTCGCAAAGTAGGAGTATCTTTTGGCGAGTTATAATCACAATTTTGTGGTTGGGTGAAATCATAGTAGCCCGAGGGGGAAAAATTGCGTGAGGACCATCACATGGAAACACCATGACGTATGGCTGATGTGTGGCCTATCAGCTGCACAGTTCGCACGACGTCCTCGTAGGGATGATCCGCACCGATTTTTTTTCCCAGCTCGTAGCCATGAGCTGATGATGTGCTCGGCTCTCGGGAATCCTCAGACCTCAGTTGTCAGTTATTCTGGGAGCTGAATTCTCTCAGCAACCGATACCACCTGTTGGTCTTTAGCCCAATATATATTTGAACAAGGACGTGTCAAACTAAGAAACCGACCAAACGGCACCTATATATCCAGCGAGAGTAAGAATGTGATCCACTTTTATCAGAAATTACTTACTTTTTTAGCCTCGTATAGCATAGGTATTCGGACAGGATAAACAAAATAGTAAAACAAAGTTACTTACTTTTTAGTCTTGTATAGCGTAGGTATTTGGTGATGGTTTTGGCGTTGATAAGCCGGCTTAAAACCGATTTGTTGTGAGAAAAATCTTTTGTAACATGGTGATAAGTTCAAGTGAACATATGGTTATACATGACTATTAACACTTATCATGAGAAGATGATATTATTTTATATATCCTTTTGGATATAATATATTTTAAAAGCTGTAGGTCACTCACGGATGGGTCAGCTGATTGAGATCTTTTTTTTTCTTCCAATAGTGCAATCTTCCTGATGCCTGTTTGGCAATCAGAATTCCCCTGAGCAATATAACAATGAAGCATGCTTATCATGATCAAGACTTTGTTCTCCGGTCGATGTCTGTCTGCTTTTCCTTTACGTCCTTCTACAAAATATTCACTGGTAGCACAAAATTTTACAGTGCTTCGAGGCAAAAGGCTGAGTTATCTAAGAAAAGTTCCGTGATTGATCATACGAAAGCCTTGAAACTCCAAGATTCTTTGTTCCAAAGACGCGGCAAAATCGTTGATTAATGAGAATCAGATTCTTTTGGTAGGCTTTCACAGGGCACTCGTGGACCAGAGCAATCTGATCCGCAAGTGGTGAGTTGTTTATCTCGTAGAGCTCATCAACAGGTTCTCTAGCTGGGTAGTAGAGCTCGTCAACAGGTTCTCTAGCTGGGCAGATCGAATACGAACCTGTTGTGTTAAACACATGGAGTAAAATGTACCACAGTAAAAGTACATTGCTGTTTCCATCTGTTACCGCAGAAATATGAACGCGTCATGAGTTTCCTTGTGACGTCGTCTGAAAACGCCTGAGAGTTCAGAAAGAGCATCATGTCCATGTGCTGCCAACGTTGGCCAGAACACAACAGGTTCGTATTCGATCTGCTTTGGAACATGGAGGAAATTTAAAAGTTACTTTCTTTTTTCGTATTTCTTCAAAAGAAAATCCAACAAGAAGCTCGTAGTCACGAAGTCTAAAAGTTGAGATCCAGCTTGCCCGTTCCCGCAGGGCCTGTTTCAGGACGAATGCTCCTGGAGAATTCTCACTTTCTAAAGTAGATATGATTCTCGATATCATGCATCTTATGGCTTCATAACATTAATAATACAGAACAGTCTTATCAAAAGATATCGAGGAAAAAGGCGAGGTCTTGTGGACTACATAGTTACAGACCGCAGGCTACAGAGATGAATTGGTTGCTGTGTCTGCGATCTGTAACTCTGCAAATCATTTCTAGAACTTTTCTTGTGGTTCCCCCACTAGACCTAAACATGACACTTGCATATGCTAATTTGGATTCTTAAAATTTTGCTCTATCATTATTTCATAGCAATGCAACAAAACTGCTCCCTCAATCCTCAAATTTCATTCCATGGGAACACGGTGAATGTGAGTGTGAAGGAATACTCCATTGCGGCTATCCTTTTTGGAAGGAAAAGAAAAACCGAGAACCCTAGCATCTACTTAAGAATAATTTGGGTTCAGAGTTCAAGGCAGGAAATGTGATCAATGGCCCATCTACATTAATTGAGTAAGCATTTAGTCCCATAGCAAATCCTATAATTCTGGAAAAGAGAATACGAATGAGCTTCACAAGCTATTCAAACACTCGTGATTTGTACAGTTAAAAAGGCGAAGACAAATATATATAGACGTCTCCTTTGACATCTTTGTATTTGTTTCAGTAAGTTAGAACTATGAGGCGAAACAGAAATACAGTCAGTGACAGCACTAAACACAAAACGATACTCAAAGAAACAAAAGACACCAAGCGAAAAAAGAAAGATCAACATAAAAATACAAACAGTAATTATGATCAGTAAAAAGGAAGAGAAGTTTTTCCGATAATTAGATTTAACGAACATGAAATATCAGCCTGTTCGGCTGGGGCTGAAACGATCGTATACGATCGTGGATTATTACTGCTGGTGGTTTGGTGTGAGAGAAAAATACTGTTCTGACTGGAAATTTACGATCGTTTATGACCAAACGAACAGGGCGTATAGCGGCAACTACAGGAGCATAATAATGCATTCCCTTGGCTATTCAATGTTAGCGTGCACCTTACAACCGCCGCCTAGAAACTATATGTCCACGATCCCCCTTCTAGTACACACTCATATGATACAAAGCATATGTACATTCTCTCGCCAAGCGGTGCAAAAGCAAAACAGAAACAATTACAGGGAACTTACATAGGTAAAATCTTGCTCAGAGTTGCCATTAGATACCTTGCCTCCATTATATATACAAAAATCTCAACTCCTGCAGAAAACTATAGTCTTGAACGTCGGAAGTACCTGATGGGATTGAATGGACCAAGTTGCCGGGCAGAAGCAAATGTTGGCCGTCCATTCAGGGACACTGTCGGCTTGATGTCCCATCCTTCAACATTTTTCGGAACACAAACATCAAACAGGATTTGGCCAAGGACTCCTTTAGGCTCCATGCAGGGTGGATGGGACATGTTGCGCCTCTGATCCTCAATCAGAGAACCGGGTTCCCGAGATTCATCATGATCCTTGAACTTGGCAAGAAGAAGTGATCACTAGGACTGTTAGCTACCCTTCTTAAGCTCTCATTTGAATTGGCTGCAGCATTGTGTAGACTGCACACCGAGTGCGCTATCTTGTACTCCTGGTCACCAGCCATATTTAAGTCATATAGTTGGCTTCGGTGGCAGAAGGTAACAAGAGCCTTCTTCAACATATCATCTACAGCTGTTCTGTATTCAGTTTCATGTGAATTGTAATGGTCTGCAAGTAATCAGAAAAGTGATTTGATTATCTGTAAAATGTGACATAATGTCTGGCAGCAGAGAAGAAAAAAATTTGAGGTTTCAAGTTGACCCACATATCTGCAGCAGCTAGAATTGTGTGTATTATAATGCTGTCTCCTACTATTCTAGTGTGACCATCCTGATGCCTAAAGCTAAAGGGGCATGGAAATTTCCTTCCGCTTGTCATTTCCTCAACATTTATAAGTAAACTCCCATTCCAAATATTCTGTGTCCCTGAGAAATTGGCAACAGCCCCAATCCAGGTATCGGAACATGTGGTTCAAGTCCGCCTTATATAAAAATTGGAGTCTGAATAAATCATTACATTCAAGTGTTAATTGCTCATGGATGTGATACATATTGGACTTGTTTTTTTTCTCGAACAGCGCAGGAGAACTGCGCGTCAGAACTCTTGGCGTCATTTCATTAAGGTAGAAGAAATGTTACAAGGGGTTAGAGACCCGACACACCCCACCCCTAGACACTAAGATACAGACTACGCCACCCAAAGATCAAGAATGACCAAAAGCCTCCAAGCATTAAGCTACAGCAGGCAGTGACCTGATAACAAGCTCCTGGAGTTTAGAAGCCCCAGCCGAGCACCAAAGCCCCCCTCCGCGCTAATGGACCTAAGGACCTCCTGAACACTTGGCCTCTTATTATAAAAACACAAGTGTTGCGGTGCTTCCAAATCTCCCAGGCCACCAGGATTATCAAGGAATTGAGGCCTTTCTGGCGCTTCTTTGGGGACAGCAGCAGTAGACCTCCTCCACCACCCTGAGAAACGAGTTACAGCAGACTGTGGTGCCAAATGTAGCAGCCCAAACTGATGCAAAACCAGGGACCAGACCTGTCGAGTGAAGACACAGCCCACTAGCAAATGATTTATTGTTTCATCCTCTTGATCACATAAGGGGCAAGACTCAGGATGGGGCAGATTCCTCTTTGCTAGTCGATCAGCTGTCCAAACCCGGTTGTGAAACACCAACCAAATGAAAAACTTACAGCGCGGGGGAGCCCAGGTTTTCCAGATCCTTCTCCACGACCCAAACTTGATGGATCCAAGAAAGAAGGCTGCATAGGCAGACTTGCTACTATAGGAACCATCCTGCGTTAACTTCCATTATAACTGTCCGGGATCTCTGGATGCAAAATAATTCCGTCCACCCTATCCCAAATGTGGAGGTAATCAAGCAATACCTCTACTGTACGAGCTCCCTAATATCTTGAACCCAGCTTCTATTATGCAGAGCTTGGGCCACAGTCCTTCTTTTTAAGCTGTTCGCTTTTGAACCGCATTGAACAGGTTAGGCGCTATTTCTGCCACGGTATGCCCATCCAGCCATCTATCTGTCCAGAACAATATTTCCTCTCCATTTCCAACTATGGCATCAACTGCAACATTAAAGAGGGCCCGCTTTGTGAGGAACAGCGATAGAAAGACCGGCCCAAGGCCTTTCAGCATTTGTCTTTTGCGCCCACAACCATAGAATCTTAAGTGCCCAACCAAGGAGCTCAAGATTATGGATCCCAAGGCCTCCATATTCAACTGGTCTCTGCACCTTTTCCCAGGCTACCAGGCAATTGCCTCCATTGGCATGTTGGTGACCCTTCCAAAGGAAGCCCCGCCGCTTTTTGTCAATAGCCTTAAGCACCCATTTAGGAAGGTCCAGGGCTATTAAGATATATATATAGGGACAGCAGTTAGCACAACCTTCACCATGACTAACCGCTCAGCCCTGTTCATTAGAGAGGCCTTCCAACCAGGGAGATATTCTGACACCTTATCTACTAAAGGCAGCAACACCTCCTTAGTTGGTTTTCCAAGTGAGAGTGGGAGGCCAAGGTACGTACAGGGGAAGGCCTTTATTGAACAAGAGGACGCTGGCAGTGAGTGCCAATTCCTCATCAGTACAATGAATAGGGGAAACCGAACTCTTGGACAGGTTGGTTCTAAGACCGGAGGCGTGTCCAAACAATTCCAGGAGCTGTCTGACAGTGACCAGATCCAAGTTGTGGGGTCTCAAGAATATGACTGCATCATCAGCATAGCAGGAGACCCTGTGCCGTGCTTGCTGAATGGCTAGCGGCTGCATCAAACCCGCTAGAGTAGCAAAATTGACCAGGGAATTGAGGACATCCATAACGAGGATAAACAACATTGGTGACAGGGGGTCTCCCTGTCTAAGACCACGGTGATGCAAAATAGTGTCTCCAGGCACTCCATTAACCAGTACTTGTGTCGAGGAGGTGGACAGGATCAAGCAAATAAGGTCTCGCCACTGCTGACCGAACCCTACCTTGCACATGACTTCCAGGAGAAACGACCAAGAGACAGAATCAAACGCCTTGGAGATGTCTAGTTTAAGAAGGATATGCGCCTCCTTCTTCTTATGCAGAGATTTCACCATCTGTTGGACCAGCATAAAGTTGTCATGAATCTTCCTTCCCCGCACAAAAGCGCTTTGGTTTGCAGAGATTAAGGAAGGTAACAGCGGTGCTAGCCGATTAGCCAAAATCTTAGTCACCAACTTGGCAAAGCTATGAATCAGGCTTATAGGATGAAAATCCTTCACTTCAACTGCATCTACTGCATCTCC